AGATGGTCGCTAGAAAACAGAATTACTTTTAGAGAAGAGTTGGAGCAGAAGGCCATCCTCTTGTGAGGAACATGTGTCCCGCCCATGGTCTCTTATATTCTATTTCCTCTTCGGTTTCAATTGACTTCATCGTATGGAAAGCGAGACCGATACCGAGACATCGTGAAGACGCAAATGAGAGGTAGCTGAGTGCGAAAGGGGGGGTATTGCGACGAAGGTTGACAACTGCTCCCCGAAACTAGTCCCCCTTACCATTTTGCTGGGGCCCCCTAGTTTAGTTCTGGATGCCACGAACCTTACTTTGGAGTTCGGGAAGTGGTTCAGTGCAACACATGCTCCCATTGGCGACCCAAGGTAGTGACTAAGCGCTATCAAGAGCACTACTCCCGCCGTTAGCCTTCGGGTTTAGGTTATGCTGCGGAGTACTCCGCCCGTGCCTTACTTCCAAGTTCCAGGACTCATCGTCGGAAGAAGAAATGACCGTGATAAGGGCATCATGCCAACAAAGCCCGCCAAGAAGATCTCGTGAGTTTCTGAGCCTCTATATGAGAGACAATGTGAAGATGACTGCTGACACTAGCTGTAGATGCAAGAGATGCCAATACCGAAAGGCATCTTGAACCCTCGCAACCTGAGTAGTCGTTACTTCACTGACTCGGCCTTCTGCGCTCATAGCTAAAATGCTCACGCACGGAGCCCTGCCAGAATTGCGCAACTGCTCAACAGACTTGCGAGTATCGAGAGGTCGACCGTAAACGACGGCCAGCGACACACGAATATGTCGTCAGCTTAGAGAACAGAGTCGCATGGCTGGAGTCGTTCATCGGCAAACTTCAAGCCGCGCCAAGCCCGGAGCGGGACAGCCTGCTAAAGACCGTCTCCTTCGGGGATCACCTCTCGGCCCCGGGACCAGCTTCAGTAGTGAACGTGAGCGAAGAGAGAAATCCTGAGCCATCTCGAGGCAGCAGCGAGAACCTTCAGGTCGACCTTGAGGGTTCGCTCATCTACCATGGTGCGACGAGTATCTATCGCGCCCATCTCGGGGTGCCAGCACGGCGCAACGCCTCACCCTCACGCGAGCTTTCTGAGAACTATGTTGTTGGTCCCGACTCAAATTTTGAGCATGTGGCGGAGCATTTCGGAATCAGCTTATACGACGAACTGGTAGATGACGCATTGATGCAGTTCTTCAAATGGCAGTACCCGCACTTCATGTTTATTTACCGAGAAGCCTTCTTAAGGGACCACTTTGGTGACCGGGTTCACGGCAAGTATTGGTCATCGGCTTTACTCCTGTCTATCTGTGCCCTGGGTACACTCATGTCACCAGACAAGCGCCACAGAGATGCGAGCGAGCAGTTCTTCTCCGCTGCCGAGAGCATACTCATCGTCTCCGGCTTCACGAAACCTTCAATCGTTACTGTACAGGGCTTCCTCTGCCTGGCTTTTTACGAGATTGGAAGAGGAAATCTCTCAAAGGGATGGGGCTTTTCGGGTAAGTCCTTGCTTATGATGCCCAGTTCGTTGATACGTGATGTTGAATATGGGCGGGTCTAGGAATCGCGTTCCGCATGGCACAAGACATGGGGTTTCAGAGGGACCCGAAACATTGGGTATCCCACGATGCATCGCTAGCTACCGAGGAAGATTTGGAGATTCGCAGACGCATCTTTTGGGGATGCTACACTTCTGATAAGTTGATTAGCCTGATCCTTGGACGATCAGTCTATCTTTTCTACGATGACGCAGAAGTCGAAACCACCAACAGGCTCCCGTAGGTCCAAGATGTATATCTACGAGTTTCCACCTTACCATGTATTGACTGCCGATCAGAGACTTTCCAGAGATGAAGCCCTGGCTCTCTGCTGGGTTCTCGGATTATGACGGGGAGTTCGATGTCGTAAATCCCCTCATCCCGTGTTTCAAGGAGCAGATCCGGCTTTCCAAGATCATCGAGAAGATGCTTTCAAAGTTGTTCTCCACCAAGAGCAGCCTGGAGGGCATCGGTCGCCAGTCGTGTCTCGACAGCCTCAACTTTGAGCTGTGTAGCTGGTATGAAGCATTGCCGGACTGTGCGAAATGGAACAGATGGGAACCATCAAGCACCCTGCTCATCCCAAGCGTGGCAGCACTTCAGTTAGTTCAATTCCACTGACCACACCCCCCCCCCTTTTCTATCGCTTTGATCGTGCAAGATGGGGCTGAAAACTGATTCCACCATCAGTTTGCTCTTTCACAGCGTCCGCATTGCGCTAAATTTCGAGCAAGCGGTGTCTCATGGCATTGCAGCCCTGAAGGACAACGCCCGCAAAGACTCCTTATCATCTGCGGAAGACATCGCACACATTGTACGGAAATACCGCAGCCAGTATGGTCTTGGACACAGCCCTCTTATGATGATCTACGGAGTCATGCAAGCGGTGAGAACGCTGTCGTTATTCGGCACGCCGGAAGAAGCTCAGTACTTGTTGCATGTTTTGGACGAATGTTCATCTGCCTGGACATTGGCCCACCAGGCGAAAGATAGGTTGGCACGAATCGAGGTGTGAGATGATGTTGCAACTTTCCACCATCCATTTGATTTGCGTAGAGAGTAAAGCAGTCCAGCACCATGCCAGACTTTAAGAGGTAGCCCTCCCCAATTTGAGCATTTCAATAGAGGGGGCGAGATACTGCACTGATTATATGTCAAGCTCCAAGACTATTAGCAAGGGGGGTTGGCGCTTCTAGACACAATGGATATTTCAACGGTATGTAGTGTGGTCATTCTAGTGCAAGTCATGAACTACATCCTCTATCTCCGAGAGCCCTCAGGGCAAGGGAAGGCCCGCCTCTAATCCTGCCTTTAGGACACCAGCAAGCTTCTTCACATCTGAGGTATTGTTGTAGAAACCAAAAGAAACTCTGATGCCCAGACGATAGGGCGTAGCAAGCACACCACTCTCCTTCAAGAGATCCATCCACCTCGGGTCATGCAAATCCAAAATGTACAAATGAGGCGCATGATCCTTGCGGGCCGAGGGCCCGACTATCTTCACCCCGAGACTTCGGCACTCCTCTCTCAACACATCACCCAGGCGGTAAAGGTGCTCCTGCACACGCCCGGGACCCATGGAATCCAAATAAAACGTCAAAAACGCCTTTGCAGCCGCGGCACTGATCAAGCTCAAATTCAGATGCTCGTATCGGCGAGTGGAAGAGTGATATATCACCTCCTCGGAAGGGACCAACAAGTCAGCGCGCACGTTGCTGACGGCCCCATAACCGACGATAGGCGGAGTGGGGTTGGTGTCAGCGATGAACTCCGGGTTGACGTAGAGAACCGCGAAGCCCGTCGGGCAGTTCAAGCCTTTGTGCAGACTGAAGGCCGCCGCAGAAACCCCCAGAGCTCGAACGTCCACTTCTGCGAAGCCGACCTGCTGCGTGAGGTCTGCGAGAACGTGAATGCCGCGTGGCCTGTATGTTGCGCAGATGTTGGCCACGTCGTTCCACTGGCCGCTGTGGAACATGATGGAGCTGAGACCGATGGCCCTGGTACGCTCGTCGACATACGGCGCAAATGTTGCGGCGTTGGCGGCCGTGACGTGCCCGGTTTCTTCCGCTGTCGAGATGGTGGGCACCTGTCGAACCTCGAGGCCGGCTCTGCGGAGAGCCATCCACCCGTAGACGTGGTTCGGGTGCTCTGTGTCCAGGACGACGACGTTGTCGCCAGGCTCGAATTTGAGGCTTCGGATGAAACACCCCAGTGCCTCTGTCGTGTCACGGGTGAAGGCTAGGGAGCTTGGGTCGGCGTTGATGTATCTGCCGACTAAAGCACGAGTCTCTTCGACAGCGTTCTGCCATTGAGGCTTTGGATGAGGGTTGTAGAGGGCATCGGAAGTGAACTTGGCGATGGCACCGTGGATTATAAGGTTTGAGGGGGGTTGGTAGGAGGCATTGAGGTAAGTGAGACTCTTGTCAGCCAGAAGAGGGACTAGAGACCGGAAGGTGGAGAAGTCGGCTTCCGAAGGAGGTTGAGGGGATGATTTGGTCGAGGTTGGGACATCGTCCACATGTTCTTGAACAGCACTAGGCGACATGATGAGTCTAAATGGGTTGTATAGGAGAAGAGATAAGTTTGATGAGATTGAGGTACAGCGATGGACTCGGCTCTCCGTCCTGACCCTGCCAGCTTTTATCGTATCCTCATGTTCCTATATCGGCACCAACATCCAGAGTTATTTTTCGGCGATTGGTCGATGGCCCGATATGACTCTATAGAACTTGACGCGTATCAGTTTATGGACGTATCATTGGCAAAGCTAGCTCATGGAGGTTGAAGTCCGTCTTTAGTACCTGGCGGATGATTAGGATCTCGGAGCGCCAAGTGTGCGGGGCAATCCTGATAGTATCACCCGCCGAGCCGTACGTTCAGCCTCCGAAACTTGTCTTTCATGGAGTGATAGACTATGGCCAGTGCTGAGTATGTCATCTGTGTGAGCTATGCGTTGGGTCAATATCGAATCATCTGATGTCGTTGCAGGGTCACCCCAAGGATCCACGATCGTCAATCCGGCAGCGCGGACTTCGACCTCCATTTGCGGGTCGCACGTTGATAAGAGGCCCCTTTCCCCGCATGTTGGTGCAATTTCGCTCCACGCCAACGTCCTTAGTCTGTGGATTACCTGGACAATGTATTAGTCCTTATCGGTTCCCCAGGTTCCAAGATAACTCTGGATCACGGAGAATAACTTCCATACACTTCATGACTTTAACAATCGCTAAGCCGAGAATATGTTTTGCGAGATATGTCCGGAAGGCAACTACGCCTAGTTTCTTTGGCCCTTATCTTGTTGGCACGCAGGTTATAAGAAACTGCTGCCCGGCGTCGAGAACCGACTATTGAACATCATAATCACTCACGGGTTTTTTTTTCATTTGTTTCAATTGCTTCAAGTGCTTATGATTAAGAAGTCACACCGTAGCATACTCTGAATCCTTTGGACAAAACCGCCTTCACAATGGGCAGCGATGATATCAACAGCAAACATGGCAAAACCGTCAACGATGTCGTCGACACAGTGGTAAAGCCTTCTGGCATGGAGCAATCAACCTCCAACGTCGAGGGGACCTCCACAGAGACGACAGGCGAACAACAACAACTCAAGCGGGAGTTCAAAGAACGTCACGTCTCTATGATCGCTGTCGCCGGCGCTATCGGAACCGGACTCATCATCGGCTCTGGTACGGGTCTCGTCAGGGGCGGTCCCGCGAGTCTGCTGATCGCGTATACCCTCATCGGAGCGGTCGTCTTCTTCATCATGACGGCCGTGGGAGAGATGGCGACGATGCTTCCTTCGGACAAGGGGTTTGCTGGATACGCTACACGTTTTGTTGATCCGGCTTTGGGGTAAGACTAGAACCACATTGTCGACACGAACTTCTGTTCGGAACAAGCTAACTTACACGTGGAAACAGTTATGCCACGGGATGGAACTATTTCTTGAAATACGCTATCGTCCTCCCCAACAACCTCACTGCAGCAGGCATCATCATACAATATTGGAGACCTGACCTCAATGTCGCCATTTTTGTGACAACCTTCACCATAGCCATTATTGCTGTCAATGTAAGTCGAGTATCCGGACAACTACTATTACTCCTTAGACTAACGAACCATCAGATCCTACACGTCTCTTTCTTCGGCGAAGCAGAATTCTGGATGTCCGCCGTAAAACTCCTCGTAATCGTAACCCTCATCCTAACCTGTTTCATAATCTCCATGGGCGGACAACCCTCTCACGAAACAATCGGCTTCAAATACTGGCACAACCCAGGCGCCTTCGGCTCCTACCTCGTCGAGGGGCCAACAGGCCGGTTCCTCGGCTTCTGGGCTGCAACAGTCCAGGCCTGCTTCGCTTACACCGGCACCGAAGTCGTCGGCGTGGCCTTTGGCGAAGCGCCCAACCCGCGCCGGACGATCCGCAAGGCCGTGCGCCAGACGTTGTGGCGCATCGTGTTCTTTTACGTCTTGGGTGCGCTGGTACTGGGGATGTCGGTGCCGTATACCAACGACATGCTTATCGGCGGGACGAAGAAGAGTACCGGGGCCGCCGCGAGTCCGTTTGTTGTTGCGGTGCAGATTGCCAACATCCCAGTGTTTCCACACGTCGTCAACGGGTGTCTGCTTGTCTTCGTCCTGAGCGCTGCCAACTCGGATATTTACATTGGGTCTCGTACGCTCTTTGGTCTAGCGCGGGATGGCCAGGCGCCAGGGCTATTTATGAGGACGTCTGGAAAGGGCGTTCCGCTTTACGGGGTCGCGGCTACGAGCGTCTTTGCGGCGCTGGCTTACATGAATGCCGCCAAGAGTTCATCCCAGGTGTTCGGGTATCTGGTCAGCTTGGTCACTGTATTTGGCACCCTCAACTGGGTGAGCGTCTTGACCAGTTACATCTGCTTCACCAGAGGTATGCAAGCGCAGGGTATCCCGAGGAGTCTGATGCCGTATCGTGGGCCGTTGCAGCCGTACGGCTCATACTTTGCCTTATTTGTGACCGTACTGGTTGTCCTGTTTAATGGTAAGTCCACGCCTTCTTAGTTGATTACACAAAGATTAATTGCGCGATCTTTCTGACACTAATCACAGGTTACAATGCCTTTATCCCTAAGTTCACAGTATCCACTTTCATGACCTCCTACATCGGCGTTGTCATCTATTTGGCCAACATTTTCAGCTATAAAGTCTATGCCAAGACACGGCGGGTAGAGCTTCACTCGATGGACCTCGTTACCAACAGGCTCGAGGATGACGGAAGCAAGTATCCCAGTACATTGGAGAAGGCGGCTTCATGGGCGGCAGAACGGCTTAGGCGATAGGATTGACATTATTCAATAGATATTACATATATGGACAGGTTTAATTCGCAAGTGGTATCATCGCGGCTCTTCAGGTCTTGCCCCATCCGACATATATCCATATGCACTCATCACCATGATATCTTCACTCGCAAGCTATCATACAATAGCAATATCCATACGTACATCTCCAGGTTAACAGCATTTGAGTTCCGATTGAGGTGCCTCTAAGCCGCAACCTTCTCGCCCTTGGTAGTCTCAGTCAGGCCCTCAGCGGGAATCTCAGCATCGGTGTTCTCGAAACTCTCGCCCCTCTTCATGCCGAGCTGGCGGGTGTCGTAGCCGTTTGCTTCCAAGTAAGCGCGGTAGCGCGCGTCCTCGAGTGCAATAGTGTCTTGGCCGATGTGCGGCAGGCAGAAAATCGCGAGGGCGGCGGACAAGACACAAAGCGAGGAGGATACCCAGAAGGGGTATTGGGCAGAGGCGACGGCGTTGTCACCGGCGGCTGCTTGGATGTACGGGAAAACTAGATTGACATTGTTAGCCAAATAATCTCTATAACCTTTGTTACGCCAGGCATGTGTAACTTACCCCATGTACCGACGAAAGCGCCAATCTTGCCAATGGCAGCAGCGACACCATAGTACTTGCCGCGGATGCCCGTCGCGCAAGTCTTTGCGGCAAGCAGACCGATGTTGTTACCGGGACCGAACTCGCCGAGCGCCAAAAAGATGCCGTAGACGACGACAAAGCCGCCGACCATGCCGGGCTGCGATAAGTTGAAGTAGTCGCCGGCCATGATGAAGCCGACGACGGCCTGCAGGAAGACACCGAGCGCGAGGGCGTAGCGAGGACCAAGCCAGTCCGAGGCCGGGGCGCCAAGCATGGTGCCGGGGATGTAGAACAGGTTGATGACCGTGTTCCAGCCGAAGACGGTGGTGAGCGGAGCCGTATCTCCATACAGGTTGCTCAAGATTGTTGAGGAGTAGATACCGAAGGAGTAAGCGGAGAACTGATATCGGAAATTAGTGTGTGATTCATCATAGTGCCCACAGCTTCAACATGACTTACATCATAGATGAACCAGATCAAGCTGACGACGAAGAGGCGCCATCCGTAAAACTTGAGTGAGAGAAGGTAGGGCGTCTTCGCGTAGCGCATTGAGTTCTTGGTCGATGCTTCGGGCTCCTTGACGAAGAGACGGAGGGCGAAGAGGAACATGGGGAATACGACGCCGATGCCCAAGCTGGTGCGCCAGATGGTGCTGTAGTGACCATTGTGGCAAGCGGCTGCGACAACGTATGGCACGAATGCTATGCTCCAATATCAGTATCGCCAACATCAAGATCAAGAGTCTGAAGAACGAACCGCCAATAACGAAACCCTAGTTCACAATGTTAGCAAACACGCAATTGACAGTAAGAAGATGGCGAGGTACGAACCCAATCAATCATGGTGTTTGTGAACATGATGAACCATAAGTTTCTCGAGCCCGACTTTAGCTCGCCGGTGGACTCTGCTGCGCCGACGCTACCCGCGGGGTACTCTCCTCCAATGCCGATACCGACCTAAATGTCATCGCGATGACGTTAACAATTGCACTTTCTTCTGAGCCTATGCGCTTATCCCGAGCACTTCGAGCCAGATTTGACGACGAAGCAAGAAGGGCCAGTCTGGTTCAGACTTACAAAGAATCGCCATGCGGCCAGGATGTTGAACATGCCAATATCGTCACCCTTGTAATAGGATCCGGCGGCGAGCGCAGTGAAGACGAGCAGGATAACGGTCGACACGAGCAGCGAGTTGGTTCGCGACCAGTGGTCAGCGAGCCAGCCGAACGCGAGCTGTCCAACGACGGTGCCAGCAAATGCGATGTCGCCAACGTACTTCTTCGCGTTGGAGTTCTTATAGAGGTCGCCGTACTGCAGTGCGAGGATCGTGGTGACGGATCCGATGACCTATGCCCCACGTCAATCACAGTTCCTGAGAGATATTATGCCAAAAGCGGTTGCGCTCACGTTGTTGATGTAGCCGTCGGAGAAGAGACCGGCACCGCAGGCAATGACGGGCACAATGGCCTTCCGGAACGGTTGGCGGGGCGCATCATCGACGGCGACGGCCTCTTGCGCCGTTGCCTCGGACTCTGCCGACTTCTTTCTTCGGAAGTTAAGCATTGTTGCGGCTCTTTTTCTCGTGTAAGTGCTCAAAGCCGCGCTCAGTGTGTCGAAGGGAGAAAGGCCCTACGACAGTGCGACAGAAGGAAACGAACAATCGAGAAGATGACGGCACAGACAGGATTGTGCGCGTGCGCGAGGGGGGGGAGAGGCGAGAGGTTGTGCGAAGCGGCGCGCAAAGGTTAAAAAGAATAGGCGCGACGAGTCAAGAAGCGCAAGGGGAAATCAACATGGTATTTATTCAGACGATCACAAGCCCGTCGGGCCAGCCACAGCACGATCTGCCAACCAGAGGGGCCTCTCTTCTCTCATGTTGCTTTGCGGTGTCTCTTCTTCCCCCCACTTACCACACGCCCTCGGAAGCAGCTCTGCTGTTGGTTGCTTTCGTTCTATGGTGAGTAAGTATTTGTGACAGACAAAAAAGAGAGTGATAAACCTTGGGAATGCCTCGGGTGTCCCGTCCCACCCTACCTTGTTCCTCGGCGGACGGGACCCGGGTTCACCCAATAATGGGCAGCCAGCCCCGATGCAACATAATCGAAAGGATTCTATGGGTCCCTCTCCCCTCTCTCACGAGTCACCCACGGCTCCCAGAACGATTCTTTAGAGACAGACGAGTGGTCTGTTGGTTTTCTTTCGAGGGAGCACGAATCCACACCAGATAACATTTGCGGGCAGATACCGGGTTGTATGCTGATAAGGCACGGTTATGCGGCAAGAGGGGGAGGAGTTTGGCGATTCCCTACGGAGTACATACACCCATTGGGACTTTTCGGCCTGGGCGCGGGCAACACACCATACGCCGCTCACCTGGGGAACACGGGGAGGAATCCTGAAGAACCAAAGTACGGGGAGAGAGGAGTGGAGGGGGACGTGGAGGGAGTGTGGGAACCCGATGTTACCCATCCGCTAGGCGACCTGTTGGTTCGTGCAGAGCTGCAGTAGTTCATGTGTTTCTCGACTCGTCTCCCGCTTTCCACAGGTTGATGAACAGGTGGCACAGATGACGCTGCGATGAGAAGAAGCACCGTAAGCCAGAGAGAATCGGTGGTCGCGTGTCTTATTTCCTACAACAGCCAATTGTGATTTGATGAGAAAAGGATGCATCGCTAAGCTTTTTCCAAGCGGTCTAGCGCTTCTCGGCAGCCCTAGGAGGCTCACTTCACTTGGCGCTCTCCCACCTGCTGCCAAGGCTTTCCCCATGCGACCTTGTTGTTGCTGAGCTAAGGTACGTTGGGCGAAATTGTTAGCGTAGTTGTGGTTTGCCTCGAGCACTGTATGCTGACTGACCTGTGACACATGAAAACCTACGAGCGAATACGTTGACAACTTTCAACACGTGCTGCTTCTTCAAAATATTAGCAACCGAGACTAGGCCGATTATTTCGCAAAACATGCGACATGGAATCCATAAATCGTTGAAGGATAGCCGAAGAGGTGGACAGTAAGTCCGATATTACAAAGACTCCAGGCTAGATTTATTGAGTCTTGGACAGTAGATCGGTCGCCGAACTGCCGTCATTCGAGGGAAAAACTTTAATACCAAATTGCGCGGCTCAAGCATCTGCATGAGAGCACGTGGTCGGGTTGCTCCGTACATACAAACATCATTTCTCAATTCACAAGCACTGGGATGTATCATGGTAAAATTTCTGCGTATTGCCGTTGCGCGACCTTTTTCTCTGCGGCCAATCCAGTGCCGTGTTGCCCACCACGTGCTTGCGGCGCCGATGTGCCGCCTTTGCCGGCCCGCCCCGGCTTTCGGTCCTATGGCGGCGCGAGGACCCTCTTCTGCCCTCCCGGGACCCGACATTGCCGGTGTGGAGGCGTTACCAAGGTCAAGATCGGTCAGTATTTAGTCTTCTAGATCCGTAAGTTTGCAGAAGTCTCGATGTTTGCTTGATGATTCGAATGGGTTCAACACCATCATCGATGGACAGAATTGACATCAATTATCTGTACGATGTGTCCGGTCTCAATTTAACTCGTTCGCTGATTTCGTTTTAGTCGCTGAAAAGGTGAAGGTATCACACGTCCGGCGATTCGCCGGAAACTTACGAGCACAGCAGAAAATGACTTCCTAGAAAGTCGAAGAGCGAAGGGCAGCGAGGAAATATATATAAACTCGGTGAGAGCATGTAAGGAAGCACGTAACAGAATGGCAGCTTTGTCTGTGCTGAATATGCCAGCCGTACTGCTCGCATTCGGTTCCAGACAGTAACTTTGTACGGAGTACTCCGTACATTGTAGCACTAAAAGATAATTAGATTAACAGAGTCAGTCGCCTCAAAATTTGTCGATCAGTGCCAAATACTACGTGGCCTAACGATTTGTCGTCTGAATAAGCTCCAGAAAAACCATCCGGTTCAATCTCATCATGGCAACTTTTTGGCGAGCTGAGTAGTTCCCTCCGGCGCATTCATATACGCCCGCTCTGTACGTGGATGCACGCATACACCGCCAGGTCTAACTTAGTATCTATCGTCTACAAAACTGTCGCGAGAACCACGCCCGTTAATCGAGGGCAGCATTCAACGCTCAATATACTACAAGAATAATCTGCTACGCCATTCTGGTAAAAACTTCAGTATAACATGAAGGAATATGTGAACTTCTTGATGCAATGACGCTTCGAGGGATCACCACTCTCTGGATTGCGAGATGATATCCACAGATGCGACTGGCCCTGGGTCCCAAAGAACGGTGTTTGCATTGCGTTTATATGACCATTACTTATAACACAAATTTGCGACTATTTTGCGAACAAATGAATGACTATGGTTTCAAGTTAAGATTGAGGAAATAGAGTTATCGTCAATTGACTACCATGACTCGATTACTTGGTCC